GTTAACGTTAGGAAAGACATTCCTATTCCGTTCTGTGTAGTTTTGGAAAAAGCAGGGGGCCCTTGCATTTTAAAACAGTTTTGAAAAAGGATTTATGGTTTGCCATAGAAAAATGCATGTGAGGAAATGTAGGAGTGAGATTTTTAAATTAGTTTTTATTGGACATTTTTTACAGAGTAAAACAATACAAATATAAAGAGGGGAAAGTAGGAAAAAGCGATAAAAGAAACAAAGATATGAAGAAGCACCCTCTTTACAGCAGTTATAAATGCATTTATATTTTAGCTTCTCAATCTAAAGATACTGTTCCCTTCTTTCCATATTCTACACTTTATAATTATCAAACCCATAAATCATGTTCATTTTTGCTCCGTTTCAGCATAAAGTCCATACAGGTGTCAGATCTAATCACAAGTATAGTTGCTGCCTTTTCCCTAATCAAACTATTTTGGTCATTTTTGCAAATTCTGTCATCTTCACCAACCATTCTATTGTATGTGTATTTCAGAGTCTTTCCATTTTTGTTCATATAATGATCTTGCTGAGGATGAAAAGTAGGAAGGTTTTGATTGGCAAAGAGTTTTTTGAGAATCAAAAATCTTGTTCCAATCTGTTTCATTAGCCAATTTATCTTACCATGATGCCTAACTATATAGGTGTGACCCTGTACTTAAGGCAGTGTTTTTCAAACTTGAAACTTTAAGGTAAATGAACTTTAACTCCCAGAATTCCACAGCCACCATTTTAAAGTTGTCAAGTTTGGGGGGGAAATGACCCAAGGAATATTATTTGTGGTATTAATCTTATTAGTTTTTTAAAAGTCAACTTTTGTTCATGCAGCTGTGTTGATAATTTTATTACTATCTGCATCTTGGAAGGAATTTTGTTTCCAGAAACTGGGCCTTTTCACTCTACCAAGTTTAAGTGCTATCCATCCGTCCTTTTGGTGGCAGAAAAATATACCTGCATGGAACTTGCTATCCCTATTGCCAATCCCAATTTCTGCCAGTCACCTGTCTTGCTTCCAAAGCTGTTTTAAATACCTTGATGCTGCCCTTGGATGGTCCTGGAATAAGAAGAGGAATGTTCTTTTTGACAGTGGTACAGTTTAGGAAATGTTAAAACTATCTCATAGTGTGGGGATAAAGGCAATATTTCAGATGCAAGGCAGAAAAAAAAGAAGTTGCCAGGACATGTTTCTGCTAGTTAGTTGAAAAAGGGGACACTTCTAGTCATGTAGGTTTCAGTGAATCTTGTCTAAGTGAAACTAATTAGGATTCATCCTGTACTTTTTTCATGGAAATGTAGCCATTTGTTAAATTGTTTAAAATTTTGGTTTTAAGCTTGTGTTGCTTAGTCAAAAAAAATCTAATCATTGCAGAATCATGTAATCTCTATAACACTTGAAATTTAAGCTTAAAGTTCCAAAATAATTGAAAAACACTAGTCAAGTAACTTAATTATCATTATACTTATTTAGATATATTTACGTTTCCCCCTAGTCTTTGCTGTATTATACGTATTTGGTAGGTTTTCCATTTGTTTTTGTTCCTTGGTCAAAATTAAATAGAAAAGGTGACCATGAACACTACTAAGGAAGTAAATATACTCCTTTATATATGAAGAAGGCGATAATATCCAATAACATATCACGTGAGCATTAAGACTTAGCTCATTGAGTATATCTAAACTAAAATTTTGGAGCATATATAAGATCTTATAGTTCAGAATCAAAATTAATTTCATGTGCCAAAAAACAATGAGTTTCACAATAAATCAACATTTGAAAGGAACCATATAAAGAGTTGGATTGTGCAAGAGGTCATTAGGGTTTTAATACAAAATTTGGCAACTGGATTCAGTGAAAGGGCAGTCCAAACTCTACTTATCCCAAAGGCCAAATAACATCGTTGCTAATATTTCACCACTCCTTTACATCGGCTCCGTGTGTGTGTGTGTGTGTGTGTGTGTGTGTGTGTGTTACTAACCATGTCCCACTGCACAGAGAAAAGAACCTTGTCTAATATATGTATGGAAAACTGACAGTAGCTATATTCAGGAAACACACAGATAATGTTTAGTGACCTTGCTGTATCTCTGCAGAAGGAAGGAGAAGAGCTCCTACTGACAGCATCTTTATTTCTTCTGTATTACCCTTGCCTCATTTTTTTTCTTTCAGACTGAACCCAGTCTTGATTTGATTTTGCAAGAGGGCTCAGTTCCTTCTAGCATTGACCATGATTCCCCAGTTTTATATGAAGGCTAATGTTGAGTTGTGGGATTCTTCCAATGTTCTTGCAGAAATACCAGTAGACTTGGCATTGCACTCCTTTGCCTATGTCCCACCACTTCTCTTTCGAGTGAAGGACCAGCTGTGGGTGAAGCAAAACAATAGTGAAGGTCGGAGTAGGATGTGTTTTGTATGGTAGACCCTCCTGGCCAGAGGCTCCCTAACCAAGCTGCAGAAAAAATGGAAGCTTTTCAGAAAGAGTTTATGAAATGTTCAGAAAATGTTTATGAATTAGCATATTATACCATTAACCTTTCAAGCTCCTGGCAGTTTATAGAGTAATGGAAACATAAAGCATTGGATAAAATCAGTGCCACTCCAGATAGTTATAGCATTTTACGCTTCAACCACTGTAACCTCTAGGAAAGACTTTGGTCCTCCAAACTCTCTGGAAAGTTGTCAAGAGCTCCAGTTAATCTTAGGAGGAACCATGCTTCAAAACCAAAACATAAGGGCACATACTGAAAAGCAGCATTGTGTTCTCTTCCTCAGTTCTCATATGGTGATGGGATTCAGCAGCCCCCAGATTGAATATATCAGGTGAGATAAGCAGGCAGTTTTTCACATAGTCATGTGCCAAGTGATAAAGAGCTTTATAGGCGAAGACCAGCTCTTTAAATTGTATGTGGGAGTCTACTAAAGCCAGTGCTGTTTTTATGCACTTTGTATTGTTCTTTGTTTTTAAATGTTTTAACAATTGTAAACTGTCCAGAATCATGGGAATTTGGATGACCTATAAACAATAAATTATTATTATTACTATTATTTCATACTTGTAGCACTGCTGTTGTATGGCACTGGTAGTTCTCACCTACCAGCAAGTGAACTGTATTTTGAACCAACTTAGCTTGCTTGTAGTTTTTGTAGGCAGCTCCATGTAAAGTACATTGCAGTAAATGATTGAAGCAAGAGGTGTGCTTTGAGAGAAAAGGCAAAATCTCCTTTGGATTGAGCTCAATTCCTGGTGATTTCATGGGAAAAGTCATGTAGTTTGTTTAGCAACAATATGGACATGGCAAGGGGAAATAGGATTGGCTGGATGCCATTTTTTTTTACATTCTCCCCTTGGTTAACTAAAGGAAACATTGGCTGATTCATGTTAGTTTTTTAGTATTTCAAGATTGACTGCAGTGAGGAAAAAATGGGGATGGGTTTGAAAATGTTTCTGATTTGGGGAGTGAAAGCAGGAGCCTTTTGGGAAAGCTTACATTCCGCTGCTAGACCTAACCAAAACACATCTTACCTGCTACTCCAAGCCTCACAACTGCATTACTTCACTTGTAGCAGGTCCTTCCCCTTGAAAGGGAAATGATGGGACATAGGCAGAGCAGAGCAATGCCCATTCTGCTGATTTTTGCATTGGCAAGAAGGGATTATAACCATTTCAGAATCCAGAGCTGTTTCGTGGCATAGGTGCTGCTGCATTTCATTTCTGTTCTCATTTTGTCAGAAGTTTAGTAAGAGGATAGTAGTGGAATTAATCACATTATTATACTATACTCAAATACCGATAATATAGGCTGTCGTTGGTTCTTCTATTAGGAACATTGTGGTAAAGAGCATTTAGTTGTGCTTCCTGACTCAAGCAAACAGCAGTGCTGCTTTGCCTTATGTCCTAAATTAGTCTTTAGACCACAGCCACTGGCTAAATAATGCCAGGCTTTTATTAGCCTCTATAAAAACAATACTTTAAAAAAATCACTTCTCTTGGTTTTTCTGATTTAGGACTAGGCCACCGAACGGAAATGAACTGGAGGTTGCATTTCACAGTCTCTGCAAGGAAAAATGTGCTTCAGACTGCCAGTTTACAGAGATTAATTGGTAAGTCTCAGTCTGCTTCAGGTAGCTTGCTTGATCTGGGAAAAGCATAGCAGGGTTCAGAAAGGCTATGGAGATTTGTGACAGTGGGTGGACAAAATATACAGGAGTTAATATATTATGAACAACAAAGGGAAGAGTTGAATATAGGAAACAGTGCTGTGTAATAACTCCAGTTCTTGAGTGACCCAATAATGAATAATAATAAAGCTGATAATTTTGGTTCTGCTGGCTATAATTTTTAAAGAAGAGATTCTAGGACTTTAATCTGGAAAGTCTTCCTAATAAATTGTGTATTCTAACCCCAAGTTATGACTTCTTCCTTAATTAATTCAGTGTTAGTGCTGTTTTAATTCTGTGGGGTTTTTTTGCAGAACAAGATTGATTTGTAGAATACATTATTTTTCCAGCAGCAAGCCAATTGCTGTGAAATTCAGCAGGCACTCCAACTGGCTTTCCATTTTTATTCCCTTGTCTTGCATGGTTCAATAGATGGACTGGAATGTTGAGCTGGGCTGTGTTTATTTATTTAGGATCGGAGACCCCAAAGCTGTAAACATAGGGGTAAATTGAAGAGTATCCCAGAAAAAGGAAGTGACACATCACTTCTGTACTGTTTCCAAGAAAACCGAATTGAGATCCTCATGTAGTCACTAGGAATAAAGTTCAGTTTATTTATTTTACTTGTATTGCATTAATTGTAAGCAAATGCAGGTTTCTCTCCTTATGTAATTGCAATATATAATAAACAATAATAAAACTACTCCCTTACAGGAAGTATTAAACATGTAAAATTTTATTTTGCTGAGCTAAATTATTTGTCATTCCTCTACAAAATGATACTTCGGTTTCAATATTTATCCCAAAAATGTTTTTAAATTATTTTTAGGATGGAGGTTTCTGGATCTCTGGATGTATGCCCAGCATCAGCATTTTAGAAATTCTTCCAATCTGACAGCCTGCAAAAATCTTCCCTTACTTCCATTAAGATCTGTCCTCTGCTTTCCTCATGGAAAACATTTGCTGCAGAAGACTTCAGAAAGTAGCTTAAAAAACACAACAGACTTGTCTGGAATAAGGTAAGGCCTTGTCTGGAATAAGGTAAGGCCTTATTTAATGAAGAGAAGGACGAGGGGGGACATGATAGCAGTGTTCCAATATCTCAGGGGTTGCCATAAAGAAGAGGGAGTCAAGCTATTCTCCAAAGCACCTGAAGGCAGGACAAGAAGCAACGGGTGGAAACTAATCAAGGAGAGAAGCAATCTAGAACTAAGGAGAAACTTCCTGACAGTGAGAACAATTAACCAGTGGNATGCTCCAACACTGGAAGTTTTTAAGAAGAGACTGGACAGCCATTTGTCCGAAATGGTATAGGGTTTCCTGCCTGAGCAGGGGGTTGGACTAGATGACCTTCAAGGTCCCTTCCAACTTTACTATTATTATTATTATTATTATTATTATTATTATTATTATTATTATTATTATTATTATTATTATTATTATTATTATCCTTTGTGTAAATATTCTTTAACTTGAAATTCTATTAAATCTTATTTAAGAGTAAGGCTCATTAGAGCTCAGGAGATTTTTGAATGTTTGTTGTGAGCCTTTCAGGTTCAAAGTTCTCATTCTCATGATAGTTCTATTGCTGGCAGAAGGAAAGGATCCAAAGGACACTTGTTCTGTGTGGTATTAGATTAGAAAGCATGTAAAAGGCTATTCTCTGCATAAAATATCTTTTAAAATGTCATTAACTTAATATAAAATACTTTAAGTATTCTAATCCATAGGTTGTAATACAATGTACAGTTATAAGGCATACAATTTAAAAAGAGTATTTAATAAAATTTAAGATTATTTAAAATAACATAAAAATACTTTATTTTTGTTACAAGGACAAAATCATAGTAATGATGTTACTATGGAGGAAATGTTTGTGATACTGGGTTGCATTCAATCTCCAGAGTATTTTCCCTAGTTGTTTTCTGTGTTTTCCATAAGAATTCAGTTTTATGGGAATCAGGGTAGAATCCTTGTTTTTCAAAACAGGTTCTAAATATTTAGCAAGTAAAGCAAAATAAGTTGGTTATTAGAACAGATAATATAATATATTTTCTACATTGCTGCTCTGACAGATGCAGACTCGTCAGTAGGGTAAGACCTTTAAGAGAATGCCTATCATTTTTGGCCAATGCCACTTCTTGCATCTGAAATTGCATTAGTGCTGATTGGAGGGAAGTTACAGTAATATATATCAGATATTGCCTCCATTCAGCTATGTACTTTCATACTGCATATCAAGGCCCAACTTCGTTGTTAGCTATTAAACTTTAATCAACTTTAATCATGCAGATATGGTATATATAATACCCTGCTCTTGAAAGTCTATCAAAGCATCCTCAGATGCAAAAAAGTCTTGATGAATACCACATTTTACATAACATGTAAAAAGTGCTTTTTTTGCATAAAAAGTAGGAGCTAGCAAACTTATGAGATGCTATATGAGAAATGATACCGTTGATTGTCTGTTTTGGCCTGAACTTTAAATGGAATTGTCTAATCATTAAAAATACTTTGTTCTCCATGAAATCTAAGTATGGCACAAATATGCCCAACAAGGTCTTTTTTTCTACTACATCCACATGATGTTGCCTTCACCTTAACTTCAGTCCATGAATGAGAAAGCCCTAAGACATCCTTGGCTGAGCTGGTGTTATTTTTCCTTTTACCTTGGCATAGTCCAAGGACAATAACATTTCTTACTATTTATTATCAGGGAAGTCAAGTGATTGCAGTGATTTGAATGAGAGAGCATAGGAACTGGGAATGGGAACAGAAAGTTGTACACTAGTATAATTTTCTGTCAGCTAAAGGCTGGGTGGAGATTGCTTCAACACAGCACCAAGAGAAGAGGAAAATCTCATGCTGATCCTTTTCTGAATAAATTAGATAACAATCCATAGATGGAAATTCTTTTAAATCATCCTGGACTGGAATATTAGTTCTTATTTTTTCCTTATAATATAAATGTGCTTCTTTATAAACTAAAGCATGCTTACTGATTATGTTGCCTGCAGGGTCCAGGGAGTAAGGTTCTTGTCCCTATCCACATTCTCAAGAGTATTTTTTGGAATTGGCCGAGGAGGAAATAACGGTGGAAATAAGAAGCTCAACCTAAGAGATGTGATGGAATACATCCAGAAGAAAGAATGCCATAGGATAGTAGTGATGGCTGGAGCAGGACTCAGTACTCCAAGTGGGATTCCAGATTTCAGGTATTGTATGGAACTACTCATATGGCTTTGCCAGCTTTAACCAAATAAGCATCCAGGTTACCAAGACACAGGAATGGTCATCCATGAAATCTGTTTTCATTAGGTGTCACATAGCTTTCATCATGTGTTAAATAACAGAGGCTCAAATAGGGGTATTTTTTAGAACTGTAGGGAAATGTCAGTGTTGTTTTTCTGCCTCTCCCAACACAGAGCCTTGTTTCCTCTTTTAATTAGTAGTGCAGTAGTTCTTCACAAAAAAAGAGAGAGATGCTTGGACTACATGAAATATATCTTCAAGAGTTTTTTGGGAGGTCTTCAAGAATAACTGTATTGCTAACAATAATGTTAGTTTTATTGACTAAGAATCATTTGGCCTTTTACTTCCCTTTTTTCCCAATTTGATCTTGCTATTCTAAGACATCAACACACTTGCTAGCTATTTATTTATTTATTTATTTATTTATTTATTTATTTATTTATTTATTTATTTATCTGTCTGTCTGTCTGTCTGTCTGTCTGTCTATCTGTCTATCTATCTATCTATCTATCTATCTATCTATCTATCTATTTATTTATTTATTGTTTAATTAGATTTGACTCCTGGTTATATGATTATTTCAGGAACATTTTCAGAACTGGTTTGGCATTGACATTTTCCTAAGGTTGAGAGGGAGTGGCTGGCCCAAGGTTATCCAGTTGGGTTTCATGCTTAGATCAAGACTAAAACTCATTTTTCCCCACTCGTGATCCAACACTTTAGCCATCAGATCAAACTGACCTGAATTTATAAATTAGTTGCAAATTAAAAATCCTCTTATTTTACAGTTGGTCCTAACCAATAGTAATTGGGACAGGAACTTGGTTGCTAAATGACACAGTTGTAAAGGGCAATGTCACATAATTGTGCTGACTTACAATGGCAGTTCCAGCAGTCCCCATTCCCCTAATTGTCATTAGGAGAATCATATATGGTCCTAGCATCTGACAGTCACGTTTGCCATTAGTGGTCTCTTGCTGGCTTCCTCATTGACTTTGCTTATGGAAGCTATGAATGAAGATTGCAAATCACAATGATTTAACTATGAGATGCTGCACCATCATAAGTGCAAGTTGGTTGCCAAGCACTTGAATTGCAATCGTGTGTGCAGGAATGTTGCAACAACTGCAATCAAAGGACCCATCATAAGTACCCCTTGTTCAGACTCACTGTAACTTTGAGCAATTGTTGAGCAAGTGGAGGTTACCCAAGGACTACCTGTATATGAATTCATTTTGCCAGGTAGGGCAGTCATTTCTGTGTTGTCTCAGGTGATGCTATTGGAATGTTGTGTTGCCTGTTGCGCTTGGTAGCTTATGGACAGTAACAGAAACCAATTAAATATCTGCTACCACTGTCTTAAAGTTGGATGAGGTGAACTTCTTCCTTAAAGCAAATTCAGCTTATCCCATGCTCATTAAAACCCACATACATGCATGGTAAGCCATGTCTGGCAGAGGTAGATTCAAAATACAGATGTTCTGTATTTTGTGGTGACTTCTTGGGATAGTTTTTTTTCCTTGTCAAAATACTTCTAACTTGGAACATTCCTGTGAAACATTCTGGATGTTTTGTTCTGAGTGAAAAATAAAATACATTTACCACTTTCCTTTCCTTAGCTCTCTAACCAGTTGATAGCTTGAATTAGATATTTCAGTACCGTACCTAGGCATTTCTTCTGCTAAGGCTTTGTGGATCTGCATCATACGGTCATTGGGTTGAACAATGACTAAGAAACTAGGCAGACATTGCATGCTTTGACAAATGTATGCCTTTGATTAAATCAGTGATATCACCTGCAATCCATATCCAATATAGATTTGGATTTCACATACAGAGAAAACAGTATATGTGAGCTCTTCTGGAATAATAATTGTTCCCATCTGGGAACTTCCACTTGACCAGTTGGTAGTCCTGTAACACATAATAGACTTTGTCCTGATACGTCATCTTAATTATTTGGGGGGAAAGTGTTCCTAATCCAGTGCTTGCCTTTATTTATGTGAGCCATTTTAAAAAACACATCCCATACAAATAGTGAACCATAAGGTAGGGATCCCTTGAATGAACTTGGTTTCCTGGCCTACCATTATTCAAATTTTACTCTACTTTTCTTTTTTTACAGGTCTCCTGGGAGTGGGCTATACAATAACCTTCAGCAGTATAATATTCCATACCCTGAAGCCATATTTGAACTTAGCTACTTTTTCCAGAATCCCAAGCCTTTCTTCAGGTTAGCTAAGGAATTGTACCCTGGCAATTACAGACCAAACTATGCCCATTATTTTCTTCGACTTCTGTTTGACAAAGGGCTCCTTCTGCGCCTCTACACACAAAATATTGATGGGCTGGAGAGAGGTGAGCCTCTTGCCACTGGCTCTGAGAAGATAAATTGAAAGCAAATTATACAGCAATAATATTTGCGGTGATGGTGGTGGTGATGGTGATGATGATGATGAGGGATCATCCATTTTAAATATCTTTGAGTTGGTGAATAGTTTAACCAAATCTGATATTTCTGTCTTGCGTGTTCTAGTTGCTGGAATTCCTCCAGATAAACTAGTTGAAGCTCATGGCACATTTGCTTCTGCTACGTGTACTGTCTGTCGAAGATCATATGCAGGAGAAGATTTCAGGGTAAGCCACAGTGTAGCAAATACAGCACTTCAGGAATAGTACAAGTATTACATATATAATTTTAATGCAAATGTAGTCAGCCTGCTTCTGTTGATTTTAGACATCCAAGAAGGTAACATTACAATCCTCGAAATCCTTGTCCTACTAGAACACCCTCATCTTTACCTTCACTTTACAGGGAGCATCACCCTTACCCCACATCTCTCATGAGACAATCCCAGATCATTATCATCTTTTCTCACATAACAGTGAAGTTAGCAGTGTGATTCCTGCAAAATGCAAGGCGGACATTGATAAAGGCAAAGGCAACCAGCCAGTAACGTTCCTCCAATTCTCAGCTTTTCCTGGCTGCTCCTTCCTATTGATAGGCTATGCCTCCTTCCACTGGCCAGGCTAAGAAACCGCAGTAGCTGCCAAACTCACTGGCTCCTCTTTCACATGGATCCACATATTTCAACTAGATCCTCGATTTTTGCATCAGCAAGCTCATAGGATTGCCTTAGTTTTTATTGCAGTATTGGTGTGCACTGTCCTCTGTTGTGATGTCAGTCT